ACATATATAATAAAAGATCCATTGACAACTTTAAAAAAAAGTCAATTTAAAGGCAAATGAAAAGGATAGTAGTGGTAAAGACATTAAATGGTAGACTGTGCAAGCCCCCTAAAAATGGATTCATTGAAAGATTACCTCTTGGAAGGGTTGTGAACCCTTTGGAGGAAGGAAAAGGTGACGGGAGATTTACAGTGGTTCACTGTAAGAGTGAGAGAGGACCTACCCAACAGTCATTTTTGAGGCTTTACAATAAGATGCTGCTGGAAGGTAGTTAGAGTGTAAGTGATGGATAAAAAATATATGTATATTTGCTTTTTGGAAAAACTATTGTAATTGTAGAATGGTAGCATGGGAAGGAAGGTGAAAAATTAGCATATTAGGCAAGAGACAGAAATTTAAGAATCATCAACAGATTGAGAAAAATTGGAGTTGTAGGATGGATCACAACACACATGGACAGTGTAGAGAGTGAGAAGAGGGCCCTGCAATATTTCAGAAATGTCTATGAACGTGGAGACAGTTTGGGCACCATCTCTTATACTATGTGCTCTTAAGAAATCATCTCTCTTTGAACCCAGATTTATCTAGATTTTTTGGTGCCTTGTTAAAGCTTGCTAGTTACATGGTTCATGAGTCTCAAGACCTACCCAATCCAAGGCTCTATACACTGTTACCTTCTTGTATATTACTGCTAAGTACCTTGTCTTTAGCAACTAGGCTCAGTGGTGATAGCATGGCACTGCCAGTCAACTTCTTGGATTTTCTTCTCCCTCACCTTATTGTTGTTTCAGGGCTTTGTATGGAGTCTGTGAGTAGGATTAGAATAACAGAAACTTCGGGCCTAATTGATTTCTCTGCTTCTGTGCAGGTGGATTGCTCAGGTTATGAACTAGAACAGTTACACACCAAAGTGACATCACTGTGCAGCCGGATAGAGCAGATTCAGTGTTATAATGCCAAGGACCGCCTGGCTCAGTCAGGTAAGCTTGTAGTCTCTCTCCCCTTCCTGGTGATTTGCCTCCTATCTATGACTATTTCACCCCTCCCACCAACCCCAGTGTCCACTTTACCCCATCCCCATTTTCATCACTCACTCTTTTTTTTTTCTCTAGACATGGCCAAACGTGTAGCCAACTTGCTGCGGGTGGTACTGAGCCTGCAGCATGCCCCTGATGCAACCTCTGATTCAACACCAGACCCTCATCGAGTCCCTTTGCGCCTGTTGGCTCCCCACATTGGTCGGCTCCCCATGCCTGAGGACTACGCCTTGGAGGAACTGCGCAGCCTCACACAGTCCTATCTGCGAGAACTGACTGTTGGAAGTCAGTGATCCCCAGGCTTTTGTCACCACACTCACATGCTGATGCACACTCACCACAGCAGTCCTCAGCATTGTTTTTATTGCCACTGTTTGCCATTCTCTGGGTTGGCTATGGAAACCACCCCTCCCTGCTGCCTCAAGCAGCATCCCACAGTTATTCAGGGCTTTTCTTAATACTGAATATAGTGTAAGGGCTTCTGGAACCAAAAAAAAAAAAAAAGGAGGCAAGTCTCCTTTTACCATCCTCAAGACCATTCAACATTTTTCCCCCTTTTCAAAAATGGTCAATAAAGCTCCTTTGGCAGAATCCCCCAAAGAACCAGAGAATTCTTTTACTCTCCTAGCATTCTGGATCTTGTGACCCTCCATGCCAACTTGCTACCCTACTCCAGTCTATTTATACTAGGACTCTTTGAAAGGAAACAAAGATGATGGAACAATTGCACTGATTTAGAATTGTCCTTCCTTATCAGGTAACTATCTCCAGAAGGAAGGGGCATTTGTCTCTGAAGTAGATTGGCTAATTAACATGAGTTTTGGAGTCAAAAGAGGGTTGGACTGGTTTTGAAAACAGAACAGGGTCTTTCTGACACATTTAGGGTACAAGGGTGTGCCTGCCATGGAGGGACTGATGTTCAAGGTATGTGAATGTTCCATGAACACAATACCTTCCCTACTACTGTGTAGGCTATCCTTGGTCATATATGTCTCTGGGAAGCTCCCAGAAACTTGGTTTAGTCCCTGATTACTAGTCGTCCTTCTAGAACACCTGTCTGGATTTATCTGAAGAGTTTGGATAAAATGGCAGGTTAGGTAGCCCTACCTACCCCTCCCATTCTAACCCCAAAGCATTTCCCACTCTTCCAGAAGGTAAAACTCACTGAGGCAGACAAGGAGCTGGGCTTTAGGGGCAGGCAGAGGGCCTTCTCTACATTGCTGCCAGTTATGGGGATCCCCAGGGATTGGCCTGAGGCAGTTGATGGTCAGGGCTGTCCCAGACAACGTGGCCACTCCTGGGTCTTTATGCATGAAGATTATGTAAAGGTTTTTATTAAAAAAATATATATATATATATAAAAATAAATGATCTAGATTATTTTCCTCTTTTCTGAATCTACTTTCTTAAAAAAATAAAATGAAATGTTTATAGCATTCCTGGTATTGGATTTCCCTTTGTATTTTTGGGCCTTCTTACATCAACAATCTGTATGGTGGCCTTGTTTGATTTAACCTGTATTTGGAATGGAGAGTCTAAATAGAGACAGGCTGTGTTTTAAGGGAGACTAATTTGGTGCTGAAGTGATACCACAAATTAGCCCAAAGGGCAAATTTACTGGCAGAGGAATTGATTATTAATTTTTACTGATTGCTACACATTTATGCACATAGATTTCCAGTTGATGGTCTTTATATTGCCCAATAGAATATATTTACCATTCAAAGCTTCTTTGCTTTTCTACTTGAGTATTTTTGTTTGTTTTTAAATCTCAAGTTATGCTAGGCATGATGTTGCAGGACTGTCATCCCAGCTACTCAGGAAGCTGAGGCAGGAGGATTATAAGTTCAAAGCCAGCCTGGGCAATTTAGCAAAACCCTGTCTCAAAAAGGAATGGGGGTTGGGGTTGTAGCTTAGTGATAGAACACTTGGTTAGCATAATGAAGCACTGGGTTTGATTCTCAGCACCGCATATAAATAAACAAAAAAGTAAAGATCCATCAACAACTTAAAAAAGGGAATGGGGCTGAAACCTATGCAAAGCCCTGAGTTCAATCCCCAGTGCCCCACATCCACACCCAAACAACAAACACCTTGAGTTATGCACCTTTCCAAATTCAGATTTCTTTTTATAAAGGCAATGATGATTCTAGATGTTGCTTTTACACAGGGCTATTTTGAGAGGAATCAAAAGAGCAAAATAAGTATTACTCAGGTCTTATTTTGATTTTTCAAACAAGCTGTGAGCAAATTCCAGTTAGGATTAGGCCAAAGACTTCTGGACTGAGATATTAGGGGATAAGAAAGCAGAGTGGTTCTTCCCTGTGGCCAGGGCTTCAATTAAACTTGGGGCCCTTGAGGACAATGTTATTCAATTGGGAATTCAATCCCCCTCCCTCTATGACTGACCACCTGAGTGAGTGACAGAACACTGCTAGGTTTCTAGCAAAGAATTCTTAACCTGCTTTCTTTGCCAGAGGTGTTTTCAAGAGTGCTGTGATTAGCTTTTAACAGTGTTAAAGACTGTTGAATATGGGCAGTATTTCTTTTTTCAAGTATTATTTCCTTCATATAAAAAGAGTTCTAAATTGAGACAGTGTCTCGCTAAGTTGCTGAGGCTGGCTTCAAACCTACAATCCTCCTGCTTCAGCCTCCTGAGATTCTGGGATTACATGTGTGTGCCACCCAGCCCCAATATTTTTTAAAAATATTTGTTTTTTAGTTGTAGGTAGACATAATATCTTTATTTCATTTTTATGTGGTGCTGAGGTTTGAACCCAGTGCCTCACGTATGCTAAGCAAGCACTCTATCAATGAGCCACAACCCCAGCTCCTAGCCCCATTTTTTAAAAATGTTTTAATTTCTCAAAAATCAAAAGACTGTAACCAGTTTTCCCAAGACTCAACAGAGCTGTGGAATCCAACTTGTTTACATGAATCATAATCTCAGCAGGGTCTACATAATACAGAGAGGGGCTGGGATTGTAGCTTAGTGTTAGAGCACTTGCCTTACACATCTGAGGCACTGGGTTTGATCCTCACACCATATAAAAATAAAGTTATAATAGATAAAATTTAATCAAGAAGTATACTAAGTCACCCCTCTATCTTCTCTTTTATTTGATAAGAGGTATCATTTGTCTTTTTTGTGGTGCTGGGGATTGAACCCAGGGCCTTGTGCATGCGAGGCAAGTCCTCTACCAACTGAGCTATTTCCCCAGCCATTAGAGATGGGGTCTCATTGAATTGCCATTGCTGAGTCTGGCTTTGAACTTGCAATTCTATCTCAGTCTCCTAAACTGCTGGGATTACAGGCATGCACCACCACCCACAACACCCCCTCCATCTTTTTTTTTTTTTGGTGGTGGTGCTGAGGATTGAACCCACAGCCTTGTACATTTGAGGCAAGCACTCTACCTACTGAGCTAAATCCCCAGCCCATCCCCTCCAACTTTTTAATGCCCTTTATTTGTTGAAGTAATGGGCATCTGTCCTTTAGAATAGAGGGCTGAGGACTTCACTGTGCCTCTACTGCCCTATTTTTTATAAACTGTTGGTTAGATCTAGAGACTTGATTCCCATTCTTTCCCACTTCTCCCAATACTTCATAGGTGGTGCTGTGTACTAAACTACTTTATCACTTCAAAGGACACATCTGGCTGTCCCACTTTGAAGGTGTTGGTTCAGGTCTTGTCAGCTTGATCATCCCTTATAAATTCCCGTCAACCTTTTTCCTATCAATTGTGGCCAGGATTCCATCATTTCATTATTGTAAATCCTATAACTTTATATGTGTGGTCATCTCATTATTTTCAAATTAGAGATATAATAATGATTTACAATTTTTTTGCCATAATAACTCTTTAAAATTACCCACTTTAGGGGCTGGGATTGTGGCTCAGCAGTAGAGTGCTCGTGTAGCACGTGCGAGGCCCTGGGTTCAATCCTCAGCACCACATGGAAGAGGATAAATAAAATAAAGGTATTGTGTCCAACTACTTCTAAAAATAAAAATTTTTAAGAAGAAATACGTAACATACATTAAAAAGTTTGCATGTGAAAATCTTAATAAGTAAATAAATATTTTTAAAAATCACCTACTTTGGGGGACTGGGGCTTTGGCTCAGCAGCAGCACACTTGCCTGGCATGTGTTAGGCACTGGGTTCGAGTCTTAGCACCACGTATAAATAAAATAAAGGTCTATCAACAACTAAAAATATAAAAAAGAAATTAACCAATTTTGGACTATTAACTTTTTTCAATATAACATTTTCACCCCAAAACATACTAAATATAAGAAATATTTCATTTGTTACAGGGACTAATATTTATTTATTGAGTTTTTAATTTGGTTTCTTCCTGGCAAAGAAAACCAAAACCCAGAGAAATCAAGAAATGTGCAGATGATCACACAGCTTATGTGGGAGAGAAAATGGGAACTGAATTCTCAATTTGGTCTAACGAGAAAGTTTATATTCTTATCCTCATACCACTTCTATTGGCTCTGATTGTAGTTGACATTCTACTTCATATATCGTGGTTTTTCATGTTGCTACAAGCCTTCAAAACTTATTTGTTCATTTATTTTTTGGTATTGGGGATCAAACCTAGGGTTTCACATAATGGCAAGTACATGCTTTATCACTGAGAATAGTCTACATACCATTCTCCTATTATGAGTACCTACATTCCTCCCAAATCATTTTGTCATTAAAAGGAATTCTGAAACAAGTTGCATCATGTTGACATAAAGCAGTAATTCTAGAAGGAGGGGCAGGCTCTTCTCCTTTGATATTACCAGAAATCTTAATATGCATCACTCTTCGCTTCCCCATGTCTCTGCTCTCATTTGCTCCTCCTTATTCTGCTCTTAGGAAAGAAGCTTCTAATTTCTCACTATTAAATATAATGTTAGCCATAAGATTTTTTGTTCTTTATTAAGTTGAGGAAGTTCCTCTTTGTTCTGAGTTTGCTGAGAATTTTTAGAATGAAAGGGTATTGGGTATTGTGAGCACTTGCATTTTGAAATGATGTGAAACACATGCAACATCCAGAAGGATATTGGGAAGGTGGATGGATTTAGGGATCATGTAGGAGAGATGACTGGGCTGGAGAAAGCAAGGAATTGACATATCTACAATGTTTGAGTCTAGGCCATGAATGTGATTGCCAGAAAAGTATTTATAGTCGTTGGTCAGTTAATGGGCCAACTTTGACAAAAGCATGTAAAACTGCATGGTAAATACCTGTGAATTTTAAGTGTATGATCCTGAAGCTGTCCTAACTCACACCTTATAACAAATACTATTGGTTGTCTACTACCTTAGGCACTTACCTTGTACTCTCTGGTTATTACATTTAATTCTTCAGCTTTCAAGGTGAGTACCAGTAATCCCATTATCCAGATTGAGAAAACTGATAATATCACCCAGATCAGACAGCTCATAAAGCGGAGAATATAAACTGATATCTGGGTGATATTGTCCCCACACTGTCAGTGTTTGGACATTGTCGGGGAGGAAGGGGACGAAGTCAAACTGCAGGGACTCTGTGAAGAGAATATCGGCTGCATCTCCTGCTCTGCATCCCCTGGCATGGCCTAAGGCTCAGCATGACTCCCACCAGGAGGGGAAAGATTTCATGGCACAAAGCACCTAGCCTCACTGGGAGGAAAGCTACAGGTGGAAAGCAAGAATTCAGGCAATGGTTTCAGAGCTGGAAGAACAATTGCCGTCCATGGGCCCTGGCCTCACACACCCCTAAGACTATGGCTTATGACAACCTTAGAATGTACTCAGTCCTAGGATGGACTGAGCCTGAGTGCTGCTTTACAGAATTTGAATAATTTAGATCCCAACAGCCTGAGGTGTCAGTTTCAATTGCTGTTTCCATGGGCACAGGTGCCCCAACCGTGTAAGCTAATAAAAAGGGCAAGGAGGGAGGGGCCACTATCCTATGCCTCAGAACCCTCAGGGTGATAACATTCCTACTCCTGGTTCTGCTGGGAGATCAACAAACTCACCTAGAGTTCAGGTGCAAAGAACAGAGGACAGAAGTCAGGGGGGACTGAAACAAAAGGAGAAAGGGAGAGAGGAAAGGGGCAGAGAAAGAGCAGAGTCAGGGAGGCAGAGGGACCAAGATGGTTACAGAAGAAAAGGAAATTGAGAGATTAGAAGTAAATAGTTACAGAGCATAGAAAGGGAGAGTGACTTAAGGCCAGAAGAGGTAAGAACCAGCAAAGAAGGAAAAAACAGGTGCCAAGGGCCACACACTAACATAGTAGGGCAGGTATGAATCAGAAGGTCAGATAACTAAAAGGACCACAGAGCTCCCCAGAGGGTAGGTGGACATAAGAGTTCTCAGTCTTTTTCTGATTTTCAGGTACTGTCCACACCATTCTTGCTGGCTGTGCCTGATGCTGTCCTAGGTCTGGCTAGTGACCTGCCCCACCTCTGGCTGTAACAGGGCCATGGAGACCTGGAGTCACCACCTCTGCCTGGGCCTTCTGCTCCTGCTCCTGCTCTCGGCAGGTAGGAAGCTCAGTGAACCAGCCACGGCCTCTCCTGTTATTGCTGCTGTTCCTCTTGCTCCAATGCTCTCTCCACATGGTCTCTCTTTTTCTTTCTCTTCAGTAATTTTTATGCTGAGAACAAGCTCTCAGGCTGGGACTGTGAAGGAAGGGAGTGCTAAAGAGGGTGAAAGGGGACTTGCCTGTCTGGGGTGGGAACAGTGACAGGGAGATCTTCCAGAGACAGAGCTGGAAAAGTCAAAGGACCTTGAATGCCAGATCAGAGCTTTATGTTACAGCCAGTGGGAGCCCTTAAAGGTTTTAAGCAGGTACTGGCCTGGTCAGATTTGCATGTTTAAAAGCTTGATTTACAGGAGGCATGAAGGGTGGTAGGAAAGAGTGAGCTTGAGATAGGAGCAGCAGTGAGGATGCTGCTGCTGCCATAGCTCAGGAGGGAGGAAGTGTCCTGAGATGGAGAGGAGAGAATGGATTCAAGAGATGTCTAGCAGAATTTGGAGGACCTGACAGGATTTGGAGACTGACTGGATTGCAAGTGAAGAAGGAGAGAGAAGATAAAGGCAGGATAATTCCCAGGTTTCCTGAGGTCACTAGGGATGCAGTTTGCTGAGATAGTAAACACAGATAATAAGCAGATTTTAAGGGTTAGGGGTGTAGCTCAGTGGTAGAAAACAACCTTAGAATGTACTAGGCCCTGGATTTGATTCCCAGCACCCCCCCAAAAAAAAGTTTCAGAGCATGGGACAGGAGATGAGACAGGATTGTGAGAATAATGTTTAAATCAGGGAATGAGGAAAATGTCTTAGAAAGGTTAGTGTGAGCTGGGTGCAGTGGTGCATGCCTGTAGTACCTGCTACTCAAGAGGCTGAAGCAGGAGAATCCCACATTTGAGGCTACCTCAGCAACTTTACAAGGCCCTGTCTCAAAATATTTTAAAAGAGGGGAGGCTAGGCCCTGGGTTCAATCCACAGAACAGAGTGGGAAGGGAGACCTAATGTGTTTTACAAAGAGATAATGCTAGGCACAGTGGTATGCACCTATAGTCCCAGCTACCTAGGAGGCTGAGGCAAGAGGATCCTTTGAGCACAGGAGTTGAGACCGAGCAACACAGTGAGACCCTGTCTCAAAACAAGCAAGCAAACAAACAGACCGACCAACCAACCAGTAGCTGACTGCAAAAGAGGGAATGTTCCATATATTGGAAGCTTTGGGAAAAATAGTTGAAATGTAGATGAAGGAGTGGAAAGATTTGAGAGAATAGAGGTATAGGATAATAGAATTCAGAATACCTGGATAACAATTTGGATCCCTGTGGCCTATTTGGGTCCTTCTAGCCTCTGTAGCAAGGCGGGAAGAATCCAGGTCCTTGGGCAGGCAAGAGTGGGGAAGAAATAGTCAGCATTCCTCCAGAGACAGTCCATGGTCTTTATTTAATTCCTCCCTAGAGGCAGGCCAGGGAGGAAAGAGCCATAGCTAAAGGGACAGAGGACAAATATTATAAGGCTATAAAATAGTGAAGCAGATGATAAGGTTCCAGGCAGGGGTGGAGGATGTGAGCAAAGAGCCCCTCGACTAGGGTCATGGATGGACAATCCTTCTAATCAATCCTCCAGAGTGCTTGGGAGCTGAGGGCAGGCTGGCTCACAAGCTGTTCCGTGACCTCTTCGCCAACTACACAAGTGCCCTCAGACCTGTGGCAGACACAGACCAGACTCTGAATGTGACCTTGGAAGTGACATTGTCCCAGATCATCGATATGGTGCGTTATGGTGGTAGTACAGCTGTAGAATGTTATTTGTAACCATGTCAAGGGGACCAAGGGATAAGAGATGGGGATTATTATCCCAACAATTCTTTATCTGCAAGCATTATATTAACAACAATGATAACATCTATTAATTGTGGGGTGCCCACTGTGCCCAACACTTTGCCCATCTGAACTCAATCTCATACCTGAATCTCACCCCATGTAACTGCTGAGGAAAGTGAGGCCAAGGTGACATAGCAAGTACTAGACTGTATATACAAATCATTTTAGTGGGTGCTGACCAGAATCCTGTAGGTGAGTGTGCACAAAGAGGGCAAGATATGTTTATACAGATGTCTACTCCCTACCCCCACAAGGATGAACGGAACCAGGTGCTGACCCTGTACCTGTGGATCCGGCAGGAATGGACGGATGCCTACCTACAATGGGACCCCAATACCTATGGTGGCCTGGATTCCATCCGCATCCCCAGTATTCTTGTGTGGCGTCCAGACATCGTGCTCTATAACAAGTACTGCCTGACTGGGCCCCTCCCCTTTCCTATCCCTTTAGAGAGTTGCCCTTAGTCCTGGGTGTGTATTGATCCCCCTCCCCACCACCTAATCTGGTTGCTATGCTGCCCAGGAAACTCTCCCTGGGACCCATCTAAAATACCAAAAGCTCACAGACCCTCCATGGCGCCCCCATTTTAGGCTGTCCCAAGCCAACTCAGACTGAATGTGTCCTGGGAACCCATTACATGGTTCTGACCAATTATGTCTCTCAAAGAAAGATATCTGTGGTACATTACCTCTCTGGCACCCTCCACTCTGCAAGACCAGCTCGAAGTCTCAGGGATTCCCAGGGCTTTCTCTTCCAGGGGCTAGCTCTCTGACACATTCTTTTATGCCACCTTAATCAGTTCTGTCTCTCCCAAACAATATATGGTATTACATAGCTTTCCCATGGCCCTTTAAAGAGTTTTGAAGATGACACCCAAGGATACTCCCAATGTCACCACCGGTTTTACAAAAGCCTTTTTGTCCTGTCCTGGGCTAGCACTGTGTCCCTTCAGACTCCTTCAGGCACTACCTATTTTAGACCTCCAAAGGTGGAATTTCACTTTACAGCACACTACATCCTCGGTGCTGCCCTGCCCTCTATGAATTAAGGGGCGCTCTTCCGCTGTGGCCACTTTGGTGAGCCTCGTCCCGTTTGCTCGCAGGGCTGACGCACAACCATCGGCATCCGCCAGCACGAATGTGGTTGTGCGGCATGATGGCGCAGTGCGCTGGGATGCCCCGGCCATCACGCGCAGCTCATGCCGCGTAGACGTGTCAGCCTTCCCATTCGACGCTCAGCGCTGCGGACTGACGTTCGGCTCATGGACACATGGTGGGCATCAGCTGGATGTGCGGCCTCGTGGCGCCGCCGCCAGCCTGGCTGACTTCGTGGAAAACGTGGAGTGGCGTGTGCTGGGCATGCCGGCGCGGCGGCGTGTGCTCACCTATGGCTGTTGCTCAGAGCCCTATCCCGATGTGACCTTCACGCTGCTGCTGCGCCGCCGCGCCGCCGCCTATGTGTGCAACCTGCTGCTTCCCTGCGTGCTCATCTCGCTGCTTGCGCCACTCGCCTTCCACCTACCAGCTGATTCGGGAGAGAAGGTGTCACTCGGGGTCACCGTGCTGCTGGCGCTCACCGTCTTCCAGCTGCTCCTGGCTGAGAGTATGCCGCCAGCCGAGAGCGTGCCACTTATCGGTGAGCCTGCCTGGGCGTTGGGAGAGGTGGTCCCCTTCTGGGCTGAGGCTCCTGGGCATCCATAATACAGGGCAGGGGAGCGCTGAGCTCCAGCCCAACCAGGAGCGGATTCAGGGATTGAGGCTGCAGAGTGCCTCTGCTTCAGTGGGAGAGAGTGAGTCATAGGTGCATCCTGCATTTTGAAGTGAGGGGAAAAAAGTAGAAAAGCCCTCACCACTAGGGGCGGGAAGGAGTCTGTCTTGAGGCTTTGATGAAGGAAGATCATATAATAATAGGCAAAATGTATTGTGTGCTCCCTGTGTGCCAGGCATTCTTCTATGTGTTTGACATTTATTAACTTAGGTGAGCATTACCACAGACGTCTGTGGACAACGTCTTGTTGTCCCAGTTGTATAGAGAGGATTGGCATGTAGCCTGAGAGTATGCCCATAACTATATGGGCCTCCACCAGTGTGGAAAACAAGCAGGAGACAGGCAACTTCTGAGGGTGCACTGGGAGGGATGAGGAATGAGGAGAACTGGACTCTTAACTCCTTCGTTTTTCTATTCATTGGGCTTGAAGAGTCCTCAAAACCTTCTGGAGGGCTTCTATTTAGGGGGAGGCAGCTGAGAAACTCATGATCCTGAAGTTCTTTTGGGCCCCAACTGGTTATTTCTTTTACAGGGAAGTACTACATGGCCACTATGACCATGGTCACATTCTCGACAGCACTTACCATCCTTATCATGAATCTGCATTACTGTGGTCCCAGTGCCCGCCCAGTACCAGCCTGGGCTAGGGTCCTCCTGCTAGGACACCTGGCAAGGGGCCTGTGTGTGCGAGAACGAGGGGAACCCTGTGGACAGCCCAGGCCACCGGAGCCAGTCCCCAGCCCCCAGCTGCCTGCTGGCCCCCCAGCAGGGCCTTGCCATGAGCCACATTGTCTGTGTAGGCAGGAAGCCCTATTACACCATGTATCCACCATTGCCAGCACCTTCCGCAGCCACAGGGCTGCCCAGCGCCGCCGTGAAGACTGGAAGCGCCTGGCACGTGTGATGGACCGCTTCTTCCTGGGAATCTTCTTTTCCATGGCTCTGGTCATGAGTCTTCTGGTGCTGGTACAGGCCCTGTGAGGAGCTGGGACGGGGTCCCAGAAAGCATCCATAGCCACAGCAGCCACAGGAAGGATGGCAAAAGCCAGGTGGTTGTTGATCCTCAAATAATCCAGCCTCTCCTTACTGCTGCTAAGAGCCTGGGAAACCCTCTCTTCAGAATCAGTACTGCTGATTTCACAATCTACAAGGAACCCTTGTTGTGTCCATGCCCTGACTAAGGGGGATCCAGATCCTAACACTGCCCTAATTCCTAAAGAAGAACTCCAGGAAGGATCAAGATTGAAGTATAAACTTGGACAAAACTGAATGATCATGCTCAGAGTTAGAGCTCTTAGTGGGGAAAGAGCAGGTGATTACATAAGAAACAGCAGCAGGGTATGGTGATGCACCCCTGTAATCCCAGCAGCTCAGGAGGCTAAGGAAGGAGGATCACACAAGTTTGAGGCAATTAGCGAGACCTGTCTCAAAAATTAAAAAAGGACTGGGAATGTAGCTCAGTGTTAAAATGCCCTGGGTTCAATCCCCAGCTCAGGAAGGAAGGAAGAAGGAAGAGAAGGAAGAGAGTTACTGCATTTCCTGTCTTTATAGGCAGCTGCTGCTTTGGAAACATGGTCGGTCTTGCCTATCACTATCTAGGGCTCAGGGAAAACAATTCGTTGTCTGCTTTCCAGAGCAAGAAGTGAAACAGACATCTGTTCCCAAAGCCTTAACCTATAATAAAGTGTGTGCCTAGTATCTCCTTGATGTCCTGTCTTCCCCTGGTGGTCTATGGTGGGAAGTCAGGGATCCATGTTTTTCTCTAGAGACAGGCACCTCAGGACTCATGAATCACAGCATAAATTAACATCTTTGCTGACAAGAAAACTGGGATTTGACTGGGACTCTCAGAGAGGGCCTAAAGCTCTATTTCTTCTTCTCTCTGAGCTCTGGACTTAGATGCAGTCCATCCAATTCCCACACACTTACATTTGGGGAGCTTGAAAGTGTCCAAAGTAGGGGCAGTGCAGAGACCAGCCTTTCACAGGAATTTGTCCCTTTTTGACTTCCACACAGTTCCAGGCATTATCTCTGTGCCTCAGACTCAGTCCCTATCCTCAGGAATCTCACAATCTGATATAGGAAGCATTCAGGGACCTTTGTGAGCACAGAGGCAGGGCCCATAACCCAGGCAGGTGGCAGAGGTCAGAAAAGGCTTCCTGGAGGAGTGAATTAGAGCTTTCCAGGTAAATATGTGAAACATTTGAATTACACCAGCAAGTCCTATGGCCAAGTGCTTTCCTACCCAGTCAGCCCCCAATAAATTGAAATCTCTTCTATCTCCAAGTGAGTGATTGCCTGTTCTGGAATTCTCCTGCCTCTAGTCAGAGTATCATTCCTAGCACCCTGGTGGAAGATTCAGTCCCTAAATTCTTTATTGTGTCTCCAGGTCTGAGAGGTCTGGAAGCTGTCAGAGAAGGTCCCAGAGCCCTGCAAATGGGTTTACCAGGCATCTTGGCTATACTTAAAGTACACACATGGCCAACATCCTTAGGTTGGCAGAATTCAGGTAAGGCTGCTCAGTGTCTGATGGATCAGAGGAAGCCTGGACTCTCTGGAAGGGACCCCACAACAAGGAACTGGAGCAGCAGCAGAAGGGACCAGACTGTGAAGAGGGAGCCTTGACCCGTAGCTGCAGGGAAAGCAAAGATGGGGAGGGAGAGAGAGATTTAGGAGCAAAGTGAAGACATTATGAAACAAGACGGAGGGGCTGGGATTGTGGCTCAGTGGTAGAATGCTTGCCTAGCTAAGGCACTGGGTTCTATTCTCAGCACCACATATAATAAAGATATTGAATCCATCTACAACTAAAAAAAATATTAAAAAGAAAAAAAAGAAAATGGGCTGAGGGTGTGGCTCAGTGGTAGAGCACTCACCTCGCTCGTGTGAGGCCCTAGGTTCAATCCTCAGCACAGCATAAAAATAAATAAAGGTATTGTGTCCAACTATAACTAAAAAAGAAAAAAGAAACAGGATGGAGAAACTGTCAGAGTGTGCTGGACTGATACACAAAATATAATGGAAGACAGATGAAATGCAAGAATTGAGGGAGTAAGGTAGACATATAGAGATCAGTGAGAGCCCAGGTTCCCCTTCCAGAGGTCTTTAGGTTGAACCCCATGCCTTCTGAAGTCGACAAAAATGTGGTGTGAGGGTGGGATAGAATGAGGGGTAGAGATCTGAATGAGATCTAGTAATGCTAAACTTGGCTCCTCTGCCCATACCTGGTAGGAGACATGCTAGGTAGACTGTGGGGGAAACATCCTAAATTCTTCCAGTGTCTGAAAGTATATCAGAACTTAAAGAAGAGGCCTGCGTTTGTGGCTGGGATGGCCTCTGGTCTTGGCTTTGCCACTTATTCTGTCACCTTAGGCAAGTCGCTTCTGTCTCTGGTCTCACTTTACTATATATAATGAGGTCCATAATCCTGTTCTGCCTCCTTCTAGCAGACTATTGTCTGGTAAGGATAGATGGGATAATGTGTGGGGAAGGTGGGAGTCATCCTGTAGGGTGGTTCAGAGTTTGGTTCTACAGCCCCTTAGGAGCTGTGTGGCAAAGGACTGGTTGCTTCTCTCTGGGCCTTAGTTCTGCTTTCCATAGAATGGGGTGATACTGGAGTATGGTAGGATAATGTTGTGATGCACCTGGAACTCTTAAGTACTACTGTCAGGAGAATGGGGAGAACAAAATGAGACTGGGATCCTCCCTGCCGGTGACTCAGAGAGCCCCCAAGAGAGGAAGGGAGGAAAGACCCACAGCTGGGGGCAGAGGAGTTGCTATTTCTTCTCTAGAAGTAGCCTATTTCCTCAAAGAGAAGTGGTGGCCCAGGAAAGCCCTAGCATAGATAGGTGTTCAAAGGAAGAGAAGAAACCCTGGTGACATCTGGTCTTATTTGCTTATTTACAAATAGGGAAATTGAGGCCCAGAGAAAAACAGGTTGGTCATAGAGAAAATTAAAGTAGAGGCGGGACTAGAATCCAGACTTTCCGAACCCAAGACCAGGCCTTGGCCTTCAAATGTGGATCTGAGCAAGTACTGAATACATTAATAGGGACAGTGGGTTCTGTAGCTGAAGGAAAAGGCCGTCCCTACCCTGAGTCTCTCGGATGCCTGCGGCCCTTACCTGAGTTATCCAGTTGACAGGATCTAGACTTGCACTTCTTGTCTGTAGGAAACAAAGAGCAAAAAAATCAACAAAAGCCTTAGTATCTTTCCAGGTGAAAAGAACCCTCAGGGCTCTGGTGACTCAGCCCTGACTTGCTTAGAAAAGCTGGTCCATTTCCTTCTAGTTCTGCTGGTCCATTTCCCTCTAGCCCAGGATGGGAATTCCCTGGGCTGTTTAACTTGATCCATGAGGCAGTGGGGCCAGAAGGCAGTCATCAAAGCGAGGGCCCCTTCTGGGCGACTTTTGCTCTCATAGCTGTAACTGTGCCTCCTTGCTACACTCACCTCTCTGGCTCCTTGAACCAGCCAAAGGGACTTGTGTTTTGGCCTGTCTTCTCTGTCAGCTCATGTCATTATGCTTCCTGTCCAAATTGGGACCAGAAGCCACAATAGACCATTTTAGCCGTGGTTACAGTTCTGTCCTCTATGAAAACTGAGCCTTGGGCTGGGGCTGTAGCTCAGTAGCAGAGCACTTGTCTACCATGTGTGAGGCACTGGGTTCAATCCTCAGCACCACATAAAGAAGTAAATAAATAAAAATAAAGGCATGTTGTCCATCTACAACTATTTAAAAAGAATAAATAAAACTGAGCCTTGCTCAGCCAGGAACAGCAGTGCACAGCCTCTTCAGAAATTAATGGACCTGTCTTCACCTCATGATTCTGTCTCCAGCCAGACCCAGGATGGGACAGGAGGGGCAATCAACACTTGCCTGACCTAAGCCTGAAGGTGAAACTTTGGGATGTAATGCCAGCTGCTGTCTCGCCCCCTCCCGACCCAGCAGGTGATACAGCACCCAATTCCTATTCTGTATTATAAATATGCTTCTCCTAGAAATGGAAGTTGGGACGTTCACTCATTTTTGGCCGCAGCAGTCTGTGTATTGATTCTGTAGCTGGAAATGAGTTCCTTTCCTGCTGGGAGAAGAGTGTGACCAGGTGTGCCTGCCCCCTCAGATAGCTTATGACCCTGCCTTGGTCAGGGAGCCCTCTTTAGCCTCCCATCAGGCAGGTGGCCATCTGTGGCCTAGATACCTTCAGGGACTAGAAGCATTCCACTTCAGAAACCTGTGTCTTCCTCAATGGGAGGCTGGAGGGACTGTGCCATGACTGCTGCTCTCACTGATGCTTTACTTTTAATATGTATGAAAGTATCCCTGGGACACAGGATGGGGCTCAGTTTTGCCAAAATCCTTTGTAGATGCAGAAGCCCACCCTTCTGCACAGTTTTGACCCTGTGCCCCTCCTCACCTTTGATGTACTCGCAATTGTATGTGCTGCGCTTTCCCAGGGCCCGGAGGTAGATGCGGGCCGGGCCTTGGGCGGGTCGGCTGGCATTGATCACCTGGAAGGTCTCAAACGGTGGAATTAGCACCTCCTCCTCTCCAGGGAAAAAGGAGTAACCCTTGATAGGAGCCCCAAGGCAGGTCCAGATGCCAAAGAAGGTGTCCTCTCCAAACTGCTGGGCTGCAACATTCTGCAGGGATGCGGAGGCAAAGCCCCCTAGTCTTACCGTAGCCCCAGGCCCTGCTGGCCGGAAGCGCAGGCCATGCACCCCTCGGTACACCTGGCGGCACTGGGGCGAACGCTGACCCCTGCCCAGCAGCTGCAAGGCCTCAGTCAACAGGAAGTGGAGTGTCTTGAAGGAGAAGTGATGGAGGTAGTGAGCCCGAGAGCGGCCTGCCTCGCGCACGGCTGCATTGAACTCCTTGTGCAGGGGGCTGTTGGCTGTATAGGCCAAGAGGGCCACCCCATGCTCATCTCGGAAGCCTGGAGGTGGTGGGGGAAGGCGGGTAGGGCTGAGGCCCCACACTGGCCCCCAGGCCTGCCGCTCCTGCCATTGACTGTTTGCCTGTGCCCAGCCGTCTGCATACACTTTATTGGTCTGAAACTCCGTGTGGTTGAGATCTGTAAGGGCAGCCATCATAGCTGCTGCACAGCCAGTGTACTGGTCATCAAAGGAGGCTGGGGCCATGTCTAGGGGTGTTTCTTGAGAGAAGATATCTCGTTGTGTGATGAGGTGGCTGTGGACCTAAATGGGAGGGGGCAGCAAGGACAAGAGGATATGCCCCTGTGAGAATGAGGCCCTTATTACCCAGTTCTCCCTCCATGGGATAAGGCTTGAGAAAGGCATAAAGGGCCCAAGCACCCTGGAGGGGTAGAGGATTTGGAACTGCCGGTTGTAAGCTCCCCAAGACCAGCATTGGGGTTTCCCCCTTAGGCAGAGTGATCCTCAAGGGAAGTGGCATTCCTTCCACCCTCTGTTTCTCCTTCCAGGGTTCAGAAGCTGACAGCCAAGCTCCCTGCTGGGGTGATGGGGACGGTAGAAGATACTGTACCTGAAGTGTGTCCATGAGGCCCATGGACACAAGTAGCAAAGGTATCATGGCAGGAATCTGCATATTGGAGGTGACCCTGGGCAAGTTGCTGTGTCTTTTTCCTCATCTGGAAAATTGCAATGTTAATCTACACAGTTTAATAAATGTTAATTGGCACCTAGTGTGTGCCACTCCCAGTGCTTCGCACAGAGCACCCAAGATATAAATGAAGGTTCAGAATAGAGAGGACTCTTTTTTTTTTAATTCTTTTTTTTTAAGTTGTTGATGGACCTTTATTTTATGTATTTGTATGTGGTGCTGAGAATCGAACCTAGTGCCTCACACTTGCTAGGCAAGCGCCCTACCACTGAGCCACAACCCCAGCCCGAGAGGACTCTTCTTGCTGGAAGGAACATGGGAGACTTCCTGAAGGAGATGACATGTATCTAGGATCAATACAACAGCAAGTTGAGACTTGGTGAGAAAAAGTTGGGGCTTGAAGAGAAAAAGGAGTTTGGGGCAGCAGCAATGGAAAGAGTAAAGGTATCAGAAGGAGGAACTTTGAGGATAAAGAGTGAATAACATGTTATCTAGTCTGGCAGAGCTTGTCGGGGTGGGAATGTTGGGAAGACCAGTCGTGAAGGGACTGGGCTTCACCTCACAAGGGATGTGAGGCCAGAACAGGGGCAGTTCCAGGAGCAGTTAGCAGGTGGGGCCATAGCAGGTTTCTAGGGACAGACAAAGCAGGGCCTGGGGGCGTCCAGAGGTCCTCCACTTTCTCTGCAGATCTCTTGAGCTCTCTTCTCCCAAACCTCAGCTGCTTCCAGTGAGGGACAGATAGAGATCCCTGGTGCTGGGAGAGAGGAGTGTACAGAGGGCATCCACTTCCCCTGGGAAGCAGGATGAACCACAGCTTCCTGCACCCTGAGGGCCCAAAGTGACTGAGAAGAGGGTGTTCCAGCATTGGGTCAGAATCCGACAGGTGGTCTCCAATTCAGGGCTGCTGCTACTGTGCTGCATCTTTCTTCTTCCTCCCTGCCTCTCCCTTTTGGAAGGGATGGTACTCAGGGGCACTCAATCACTGAGCCACATCCCCATCCCTAATTTGTATTTTATTTAGAGACAGGATCTCACTGAGTTGCTTAGCACCTCACTTTTGCTGAGGCTGGCTTTGAACTCGAGACCCTCCTGGTCTCAGCTTTCTGAGCTACCGGGATCACAGGTGTGCACCACCACATCCGGCCTTCCTCTTTTTTATTATTTTATTTCAAAGTAATATGTGCTTGCTGCCAGGGAAGTAAGTATATGAATCACAAAATCCAAGTTCCCTTTCTTCTTTCACTTTCTGCACACATCCTTCCCACTCTTACATACCCCTGCCAGTGGGGAGAGAGAGACCAGTGATAAGGGTATCTTTCAGAACTTTCTCAGAGAATATACAAATAATATATTTAAATGCATATATATATATATTTTTTTCTATAGACAGCTGGTTTAATTTATTATTTTTATTTTGTGGTATTGTATTGGGGTGCTCTGCCACTGAGCTACATCCCCAGCACTTTTTTTTTTTTTGTACCAAGGATCAAATCCAGGGGCACTTAACCACTGAGCCACATCCCAGCCTTTTTTATTTTTATTTTTTAAATATATTTTTAGTTGTAGATGGACACAATACCTTTAGTTTATAGATTTATTTTTTTATGTGGTGCTGAGGATGGAACCCAGTGCCTCACACATGCTAGGCAAGCACTCTACCATTGAGCCACAACCCCAGCCCCTTATTTTTTATTTTCAGACAGGTTCTTACCAAGTTGCTTAGGACCTTGCTGAGTTGCTGAGGCTGGCTTTGAATTTGTGATCCACCTGCCTCAGCCTCCCAAGTCACTGGGATTACAGGCATGTGCCACTGTGCCCAGCTTATCCCTACCACTTTAAAATTTTTATTTTGAAATAGAATTTCACTAAATTGCTGAGACTGGCCTCAAATTTTTGATCCTCCTGTCTCAGCCTTCCAAGCTGTTGGAATTACAGGTATGCACCACCACCACTAAATTACATCCTAGCCATCCCAGACCTCCCAGCCCATTTCTTTTTTTAAATTTTTTTATGATGCTGGGGATTGAACCCAGGGCCTTGTGCATATGAGGCAAGCACTCTACCAACTGAGCTATGTCCCCAGCCTACCAATTTCATTTTGAGACAGGATTTTGCTAAGTTACCAGGCTGGCCTCAAACAAGCCCCACTTGTTTTGTTTTTGGTTTTTTTGCTTTTTTTTTCCCTAGTTGTATGTAGACAGATACTTTTATTTTTATTTATTTTTAGTTTTTTGTAGTGCTGAGGATCAAACCCAGTGCCTCACGTCATGCCAGGTGAGTGCTCTATCACTGAGCTACAACCCTAGCCCCTTGTTCTGGTTTTTATTGTCATTTTTTCAGAAAGGAAACATGCTTATGTATGCACATCCTATTACCTCCCACCCCACCGCCGCCAAGAAACAATATATTATGGATTTTCTTTCATGTCAGTATATACATATCTACCTTGTTCATTATAATGACAGCATGGTGTATTTCGTGGTATAGTTAAATCATATGATAGATATTTAAGTATTTTTCCTAATTTTAAAATATTATGCATCATTTATAGTGAACATTCATATATATAAATTCTTGTCTATTTGTGTGCATATTTTTATAGGAATTATTTCAAGAAGTAGAATAATAATTTAAAGAACACGAATGTCTTTAATTTTGATAGGCACTGCCAAACTGTCATCCAAAAAGGTACCATTTTGTCCCCATCAGAAATGAAGGTAAGGGCCAGGGTTGTGACTCAGTGGTAGAGTGCTTGCCTCGCATGAGCCACTGGGTTCCATCCCCAGAACATAAAAAAATAAACAAATAAAATAAAGGTTTTTGTGTCCATCTATAACTAAAAAAATATATTTTTTAAAAAAGGTGGCAAGTGCTCTTTTTTCCATGTTTTTGCCAATGCTGGATATTATTGATCTCTTTTTATTTTTTTTTCATTTTAATTAAGTGAATATTAATTTGGAATATAGTTTGGAAATGTTATGCTCATATCATCACCCCAATCAAAATATTAAACATATCTATCACCTCAAAAAGTTTTTTTTTTTGTATCCCTTTGCTTTTATTTTATTTATTTCTTTTGTTTTGTTCTGCTTTTTTGTGTGTGTGTGTGTATGTGTGGTAAGAACACTAAATGTTAGATCTAACCTCTTTACAAATTTTTAAGTGCCTAGTATCCAGTTGTTAACTATGGGCACTATCTTGTACTGAATAGATTTTAAAGGCCCATTTTGCTCTTTGCAGTCCCAGAACACAAGAGAGTGTCACTAAAAATGCATTGAATGAATGATTGGTTTGGAGGGGACATGGTGATTTCAGTTTGTAAATGCGAATTCTCCAAGGGCAGATGTCCAAGAGGTAGCTGAATGATGATAAGAGACATTGAGCCAGGTGTGGTGGTACATCCCTGTAATCCTAACTACTCAGGAGACAGGAGAATCACAAGTTCAAGGCCAATCAGCAAGATTGTGTCTCAAAATTTTTTAAAAAGGGCTGGGGATGTAGCTCAGTGGTAGAGTGCTTGCCTGGTATGAGGGAGGCCCTGGATTATAACCCACGCATTGTAAAACAAAACCAAAAAGTGTAGTTACCAACTAATGCTGGGCACAGTATGGACCCCTCCTGGATTCTCATTCCCTCTGCTCATCCCCACTCACCCCACAGTCAAGTCTGCACCTGCCTCCTTGGAGACCTCCCCACCTCCTCTTTCACCCCTGTTAGATTATCATGAAGCAGGGAACAGTGCAAATGAAGAGTTCTCATACTCCAACTTCATGGTAACTCAACCTCAGGTCCTGACCATTAATAAGTTACAACTGGATAACAAGAGAGACTGGGAGAAAAGAATAAGAAGGAAGAACAGATCTTCCTATGATGCTATTTTACATTCATTGTGGCTGAAGCTCTAGTCATCTTCCTAGTCTGCTTAAAAACCCTCTGTCCAAAAACTGACTGGAAGAAATATCTCAAAAAAAAAAAAAAAAGCAGAGTAAAGGGCTGGGGATATAGCTAAGTTGGTAGAGTGCTTGCCTTGCATACACAAGGCCCTATGCGTGCCCCTCCCCCCCCAAAATAGAGTAAAAATGCAGAGATGACAATTATGGCAGTATAGATGAGAACATGTCTTGCAAAAGAAAATAAAACATCCCTTCACACCCTCAGGATAAAGTCCAATCTCTTTACCCCAGACTTTAAAAAAAATTTTTTTGGTGGAGCTGAGGATTGAACCCAGGGCCTTATGCATGCATGCAAGGTAAACACTCTACCAACTGAGTTAAATTCTCAGCCCCTGTATTGTGGCCTTTGAGGCCCTTTGTACAGTTCCATTCCCCTCCACCTCTGCTTGGCTTCTGCAGTACAGAACCAAGTTCCAAACAGGCCCAGCTGTTTCCCCTCACCCTGGGATACCCTGCTCCTGGCTATTCACTCTTCAAGGCTTAGCCCAGAGCTACCTCCTTCAGGAAGCCCACTGACTCCTCCACCCCTCCCCACTCCATGATACTATGCTGTCCTTTGTCACTGCCCTAATCATACAGAGCTGCCCTCATGTATGCCTTTCTCCCCTCCTGGCCCATGATTTACTTGTGGACAGAGACCAGGCTTGACCTCAGCCCAAGGCCAGGCAACCCAGAAGATGAGACCCCCCCAGAAGGATTACTGAGAGTCTGAGAGGCTTTTGGGGCACAGCTAAGAAGGTAGAACACTGAAGAGCAGGTAGATGGCTGTCCTTGGTGACAAGTTTCAGGGGGGGGGATGGGACAGAGGTCAGAGGGATTAGGGATAATGGGGAAGTGAGGAAGTGTAGATAGTGGGCAACCTCTTCAGTCAAGGGAGCTGCCCTTCCTCTGTCCTTCCTTTCATCCTGTTCATAGCAATTCTCTTGTCAGTTTCTTCTTTTCCAGCTTGAACATTCCCTTCTGGAAATGTGAGTATATACCTCTCCCCAGGAATCCCAAATTTCCCTATGACCCCAAACCTTCCTCAGTATCCCAAACCTCTTCATCAAGTGTTCTCTAAAACTTTTCCTTATGATTCCTAAAAGTTCCATTAATCCCCCAAATCTCACTTCAAAAAAGTTTCCCTGCCTCACAACCTGGAGGAGTGTGGATTGTCCCTTACCTAGGCCTTTTCCAGGGTGGGGAAGCTGTTGGTGGTCTCCCTTGATGGTCACCAGGGGAGGGGAGGACAGATTTCTCCTTTATACTGTCAATTCCCCACCCCTTGTACCTCCCGCACACAGCTGCTCAGAAATATGACACTCCCCCTTCTATTTCTGGATGTCTCCTCAAGGCTCAGGAACACAAGTCTCTCTGCCCAGTCTGATGGACCCAGTGCTCTGCCCAAGAAAAAAGGAATCCCTAAAGCCAGATGGAAGGTCGGCTGAGGCATGGAGGATATTGCCTGGGAAAACTACCTCTTCATTGGGTTTGGTCCTATGCCCTGCTCACCAAGGAAGAAAAAGAGAGGGTGGCTTCAATAACCCTGGCTTCAGGAGGCTTCTCTTTGCATTTTATTCCTTTCTTGTGAATATCGACTCATCTGAGGTGGAAGGAGAGATTCAGCATAAGGAGGTTGGGTTCTAGGTCCCAGCTCCAACTTTGATTTGCCATGTGATCCGGAAGGACTTTCTACCCTACTCAGCACCCCTGTCCATCACTTGAGTACTTGTGGGGATTTTAGGTCCTAGGATGGGAGAAGCAGTTCCTCAAACCCAGAGGGTGGAGAGAGAACAATGCAATGATCTCAGTAAGTCTGGTCCTTGGGGGCTGTTCCAGTAGGCCAAGCTGTCCCCACTCTATCCTCTGTCCCTGCAACTGCAAACACTCATGTCCCTCCAGGCAGAGGGGCAGGTAAGATATGTAGGCAAGGTGCTATTTTTCACAATTATGGTAAATGGTAGACTGCCTCCTGATTCTCTAACCTAGGAGGGCCCTCAGGTGGCTAGTCTCATTGGAAAGGAGCAAAAGAACTTTTCTTGAAGCTATTTCCCTATCAGGCATTCTGTCTGGGAAGATGCCATTGTTTCCATCTCCCTCCCTACCTGCCCCATGCCTGGGCACATTTTGTCATCTTCTTTGGTTTTTAGGAAGGGTTTGGGGAGTAAAAAGGATTCAGGTGAAGGAAACTCTTTATTTGGTGGACAATCTGAAGGGTTGGAGCAGGGCAGGGATGGGACAAATTAGTAAAACAAGATCAGGATAGAGACCTTTGTGTAGATCTAACTTCCCAGGCCTAATCCAGCCCCATCAGGTGACATCTCTTAAATTTTGACGTTCAGGACCCCCACTCCCTCCTCCATGTTCAGGCTGTCAGAAAGCTCTTCCCTGAGCCATTTACTGATAAGTCAGCTGGCCCCTTCTCTCATTACCTCTACTTGGGCATCCAAAACTCAGAGCCAGGTTATTTATAGTCAAGCTTACAGGGGGTGGAAGGGAAAGCTAGTGTTTACAAACACGGGGTCACCTGAGTCTGAGAGACTGGAACACGTGACCAACGCGTGGGTCATATGCAAATTGTACGCAAACTAGCGAGTGCTCAAGTCACTTCTTAGCAACCAGGGACCCTCTTCCTGGTCTGGGGGCCCGGGCCTGGCTGGGTCAGGGCACCCTTGATGGGGAGGCCGAATCTCACAAGTTCCTCCCCCAGCCCAGGCCTTGCTCGGGGCCAAAGAGGGTCCTGGAGAAAAAACCTGCAGGCTCTGGGCAAGGCAGTTTCGTCCTCAGCCCCTCACCCTGCCCACGCTGGGTCTGTAGTTGCAGAAGACAGGTGTCGGGTTACAGCTGGGGCTATAGTTAGCCGCAGAGACTTTGTTTAGCAGTTGGGGGACAGCGCTGCGCCCGCAGGAACTTTAGCCCCTTCTGGGTTCCTTCCCGCTTTCTGCCTCCACAACCTCCAGGTGGGTCCTGGGTTCCCCAACCCTTCCTCACTCCTTCAGGCGGAGTCCTGTGATCACCCCATCTTCGCTATATCAAAAAAAGAAGGGGGGGCAAGGGATGCGGCTCAGTGGGGGAGTTCTTGCTTAGCCAAAAAAAGCCACAAGACTGGAGATACTGAGTGTGGGGGCGTCTGGTAGTCTGGGGAGCAGACACTCAGGGGTGTGCAGGGGACTGTAAAATTCAAGGCCCCCCCCCTTACCCTTAGGCCCGCCCTTAGCCCCGCCCTCGTCCCACCTGGACCCTAGTCCACCCAAGGGACCCCTCACGCTGCGAGAGAGGAAGAGTGCTGGAGTCCATCGAAGCCAGGATTCCAACGCCGTGAGCCTCATCTGGCTCCGGCATGATGCTGGCGGCTCTGCTGATCACCCTCAGCCACCTGGGCTTCAATACCCTCTTCCTGCAGGTAACTCTCAGGAACCATTCCTTGCTACAAAGGGGGAAGTTAGGGGCAGACCTCGAGGAGGTGGTTTGAGGGATGTCTCCTCAAAATTGTCTTCCAGGGACTTTTCCCTAGGATTCCTCACCTCTCAGTCCTCTTCCTCTCAGGAACTTTCATCCCTGAAGAGAATCCCAGGTTCCATCCTCTTTCCAAGAATCCCCATCCACCCCATAGCTCCCCATGTGATCCTCCCTCCTTCATGTCATCCTTCCCAACTTTCTCTTCCTCACTTCTCACATCCCACCATGTTCAGCCTCTGGAAACTCCACCTGTGCCTTTCTGTCCCCATACCCCCTCCTTGACCAGGGCTTGACCTCCTCACACCACCCCCAAATTTGGGATAAAGGCTTCTAAAGTCCTCTCTCTAAAGGAGAGGACTCAGGAATCTGAAAGTTAAAATGATTTGGTGTGGTGTCTGAGGGCTCCAAGGGCTTCCAGAAAGATGAGTGGGAAGAGTCTGAGGAAGATGGGGACAGGATCAGGTAATTGCATGTGGACTGCATGTTCATCACCTGCATACTGAATCTTTGAGCCAGAAAAGTGCCAAGGGTCATCCAGCCTTAACTCCTGCTGAATGCAGGAAACTTTTCAATGACAAGATGACCCCTTTTAGGTTATGCTGAAGTGATCTTTATGCTGTCCTCACAACAACCCTGTGAGGTTGGAAATATGCTCAGTTTATAGTCACAGAACCTGAATCCCAGAAAAGTTGAGACTTCCCCAAGATCTCACAGCTATTAGGTGGTGTTTGGACCCATGTCTATCTGACTCAAGTGCTGTGTGTTATTTACACTGTGTTTCTGAACTCTCCTGCCATTAGGCTCTTTGTCCAGAGTTCTGAAATACTCTTTCCTGTGTGACTCCTTATGTCCATAGGCCTATGCTGTTCCTATTCTGCCCCTGGGCCTGGCTCCAGACACCTTCGATGATGCCTATGTGGGTTGCTTAGAGGAGATGGAGGAGAAGGCAGCCCTCCTGCTAAAGGAGGAGATGGCTCATCACACCCTGCTGCGGGAATCTTGGGAGGCAGCCCAGAAGGCCTGGGAACATCATCGTCAAGGGCTCACTCTCCCCCTTGGCTTCAAAGCCCAGCATGGAATAGCCATTATGGTCTACACCAACTCATCTAATACTTTGTACTGGGAGCTGAATCAGGCCGTGCGGATGGGCGGTGTCTCCCGTGAATACTACATGAGACACTTCCCCTTCAAAGCCCTGCATTTCTACCTAACCAGAGCCCTGCAGCTTCTGCGGAGCCATGGAGGCTGCAGTAGAGGACCTGGGGAGGTGGTGTTTAGAGGCGTGAGCAGCCTTCGGTTTGAACCCAAGAGGTTGGGAGATTCTGTCCGCTTAGGCCAGTTTGCCTCCAGTTCCCTGGATGAGTCAATAGCCCGCAGGTTTGGTAATGCCACCTTCTTCTCTCTAAGGACTTGTTTTGGGGCTCGTATTCAGGCCCTATCTGTCTTCCCTGAAGAACGTGAGGTGCTGATCCCCCCCCATGAAGTCTTCTTGGTCACTGGGTTCTCCCAGGATGGACCCCGGAACCTAGTGACTCTCTGGAGCTATAATCGGACCTGCAGCCACTTTAACTGCGCATTTTTGGGTGGTGAGCTGTGCATGGGGGATACAGGACTGGCAGGGTGGGTGAAATAAGCCAGTATGTCCTTAACACAGTTCCCAGAGCCTTGAGGAGACCCACTTGGTTTCACTTGATGAAAATTGGAGGCTAAAATTCAGCTGGAGTTATTGTCCTTTGAGACTCAGATTCTGCCAGGGCCATGTTTTCTAGATCTGTGAACATTTTCAGATGATTCTACATGTCATCTGCTGTTGGGAATATGACTGTGTAGTAGAGCATTTGCCCTAGCATTCATGAGGTTCAGGGTTCAATCCCCATCAACAAAGGTTCTACTCTATAGTCTGACAGACCAAAGGAACTTGGTTAGGGAGGTTATCACACAAAGGAAACAGACAGGAGTACTGTTTCAGATCTCAGAGGCCCCAGGCTTGATGGGGTTGACAGGACACAAATATGCTATTCCCAAGTGCTGAGGCAGGGAATAGTGACTGGGTGTGGTGGGAGCAGAGGTGGATAGGCAACCTGGAAGAATTTCCTGGGAGAAGGAGAAGGAAGAAAAATCAGAAGTTTGCCTTTAAGTGAAGGAAAAGATGGATTCAGTGGGGAAATGGCCTTGGCAAGGCCTGGTTGGAAGGACATTTGGGTTGTGAGTCTGTCTCACCTGCTGTCTGTTGCAGGGGAGAAGAGGCGGCGATGTGTGCCTGGACCAGGTAAGTCGCCCTCCTGCCACCTCTCAGCTGCTTCAACTCCTCCTGGGACTGCTGGCCCCCTCACTTTCTTTTCTTTTTCCAGAAGTAGAGCAGCCAGAGTCTCCTTCCAAGGGGAACTTTTCTACTTTCCTAGAAAATCCCACTCTTGGCTCCTGGGAGGTTCCAGTTCTCAAGAGCTGGGTCCTGAAAGTCCAACACCTGCCACTTAGGAATCCTGGGAACTGGTGACCTTCATATGAAGAAGGGAGCTTCAAATAGCCTTGAGAAGCAAGACCATGGTTCTGGATCCACCTCCAGCAGCCATCTTCCAAAAGGGTGTGGGGAGACCTTAGGCCATTGCAGGGTTGAGGGAAGCACACTATCTGGTGGGGACTTCCTTGGACAAGCAAGGGAAATACTGATGGCGCCTCAATTAAATGGTGTCGCAGTATGGAGACATGGAATTATATGATTGGTTTATTCCATGAGACTGGACCATCTGCCCTTGCCAGGCTCAGGGACTGAGGAAATAAAAAAGAGTAACTTTCTGGTCACTCTGAGACATGGTCTCCTGTCAGACCCCCATCATACACTTGATCTTGCAAACTCAGAAGCTTTAACAGCCAGAGGGTCCTCACAGCACCCAGGAAGGCAGGAAAAGTGACAGATGGATTTCTCAGCGCTATTTGTCTGATGAGGAATACAAGGCCAAGAGGGACTTAACTTGTTCAAGGTCAGATAGGTAGTATTGCAGCCAAACCTCTTGCTTCCCAGGCCTCCTGCCTCCTAGTCCAGAGCTCTTTTCCACCAAAGATCTGAGGAATCCCAAAGTAGAATTCTAAGCCCAAAAATATCTGGAAGTCCAGAGCAAGCCATTTCTTTCTACCCTGCTCACCCAGGGTTCAGAAGGAAGTGGAGGAAGGATCTTAAAGCATCAAGACACAGGAATTCTCATGTACTCCGTGGGCATCTGATGTCACCAGTAGTAACTTTATTGAAGCAAGGAAAGCTCTTACTAAGTGATCCTTGCCCCCATCCAACTATGGTGCTGAATGTAGAGGAAGGGGCCTTTCCACTGCATTAGGAATCCCTATTGGTCCCCAAAGCCTCTTGTGGGTCCAAGTCCCCAGCCCCTTCTTCTTCTTGCTCCCTGTGCACCAGCACATGAGCTGGGGAGGAGAGGCCAGACTCTCCAGAAGCTGGAGCCCCAGCCTCTTCAGCAGTCTGAAGCCCAGTTTCCGAAGAGTCTTGGGTCCCCACAATTCCTGACATGGTCAGCTCTGGGGTCTCAGAGATGGGGGGCCCCAGGTTTTGAAAGCTGTTGCGCACTCGGGTGATATAGCGACTGAGGATACTGGCACCATCAGGAGGCCGGGGCATCCCTCCTGCTGCCAAGTTTCGACGAACACCAGCAACCTCGCTTTGTAGTCGAGACACAGTTTTGGTTAACTCTGTCAGTCTGTTGCCCAGGTCTGAGAGGTGGAACATTGAGAAGGATGTTTTTCAGAAGATGAGCCTATTCAGTATTTCTTCTGTCCTCAACAGAACCCCAGAGGACACCTTGTTTGAGATTCCTGAGGACCCAGGACTGGAAGAACTGAGGGGTCAGTGGTTCAGTGAGTGGACAGAATCTGAGGTAGATGAAGCTAAGTAGTGGTGGAGGTGGCTACTTTAGAGCTATAAAGAAGGAAGGTCTTGTGGGTCAGAAAAGTCAAGATGACTCATGGGGAGGAATTTTAATTGGTAGGGATTTGTACATCTGCCCCAACAGCCCTCTCCCCAATCTACACCTGGCCAGCTCATTCCTGTCCTTCAGGCTTAGTTCAAATTCTACCTGCCTTTTCTCCAACTTCTCCCTCTCAAAACAATAGGCTTTTTCTGTCCTTTGGGTTCCCAGTGCAATCTGTGTCTCTCTTTCTACCTAGTATGATGGCTTCTCCCCATACTGAAAGCTTCCCTTGTATGCCTGCTGTATACAGTGCCCCTCCCTACAAGACAAGCCTAGAACAAGGGAGGACACAGCAACAATCACAGGTTGAATACGTAAGTAAGTGAACGAGTGAATAAATGAACAGGTGAATAAAAGGGCTAGGTGATTAAATGAAACGAATGGCCTAAGTGCCTGAATGGGTCAGGGGGTAATTCAGTGCAAGGGGCAATATTGTGCAGGTTGTGGTTTCCAAGTGTAGGGTGGGGCTATATACCATGCAGGCTGAGTGGGGGGTGATGAGCAAGAAACAGGGGTGGGGAAAGCTTGGAGGCTGACCACTAACCTTTCCGACGTGTCTCCTCAAACTCGCGCCGGGCAGTCTCTATGTAGCGCTGTACCAGAGCCTTGATGACACGAAGGCGGTAGGACCCACGCTCTCCCTCCCCAGGCCCAGGCCCTGCCCCTGCCCCCTGGTTGGCCTGGAATGGGAAGACAGGAAGGTGAGAGAGATTTCTCTACCCTCAGCCTTCCTCTAATCACTGTGCCACCCCAGCAATAAAGGACCAAGTCAAAGTTTGCGCAGACTTCTTTGTCCCTACAGGCCACACACCTAGACCTGGTCTGCCTCCACTTCACAGTGGAGTCCCAAAAGTGAGAAGGATCGGGGCCAGAAGCTAGGGAAGGGTCGACTACGAGAGGCCCATGGTAGTGGGTGGAAGCAAAGGCTAGGAGGTAGAGGAGAGATAGGAGAACCCCCAAAAGACATGGCAGTAACATGAAGGGGCTGTTGTGCCCAACCAGACCAGGTTAGGGTACAGAAAAGCAGAGTAAGTGAGCCCCCTGGATGCCCACCTTCCTCTCCCAGGTCTCTGTCAGCCTGATAATTTCCCAGTTGGTTGGACATTTACCCGTGGCTTCTTAAAATGTTTCTGAAAAACATTCAGCCACATCTTGGCCCAGTTTGTCTGGAACTTAGTAAGTATCTGTAGCTTGGGAGGAGGGTGGCATGAACTTCTATTCACATTGTATAATACAGCACTGGGAATTTTAGGAAATGACCAGAGCCAAGAAGAGGGAAAAGGATGTTCTGGGAACATAGCTGGAAGGATAGCTATGCCAGAGATGTGCACACAAATGGATGGTATACAGTTGAAGCCTGGTGTGAGAGGGCCAATAAGTAGATGAGGTACTCACATAGGTGGGGATTGGGGGATAGTCTGGCTTCTTGGTTTTGCAGCAGGAGCAGCAACAGCAAATAAACTGGAAAATTCTCCTGAGAAATTTCAATGGTGGCAAGAGGTTAGTTACAGAACAGTTCTAGGGAAATGAGGGCAGGAGGTCTGGGGATGTGACTCAGTAGTAGAGTACTTTCCTAACATGTACAGGGCCCAATACAACAACAAAAAATAAAAAAGAAAGAAAAGAAAAATAAATGGGGTAAGGAGCTGGGTAATGTGTGGGGGCTGGGTGCTCAGGGGTTAGGGTGAGAGCTCTGAGGTCATCACCTGAGAAGGTAGAAGAAGGCCTTGGGGGAGGGCAGGATGTTGAAGGGCACAGGCAGAGTCAGGCCCTCTCGGAAATAGGATAGGTAGAGCTTAGAGCGAGCAAACTTCCACTCCACGTCAGCATCATCCTGGAGGCCAGGTGGCAAGGGACTGTGAAGGACTAGGTTAGCACCTGGCTTTCCTGCTCACTGAATCTGCCTTCTCCCTCAGTCCTCACATCTCTTACTCTCCAGTGTGTCAACCATTCTCCCCATTCTGGCTTCCAACTCCTTGGACACCCACCTCCCCCCTGCCTGTCTCCACCTTTCCTCTCTCCCTCCCCGTTATCTCTTATCCTCACATCTTGATCCTGCCCAGCCTGTTCTCCAGCATGCAAACCATAACCCTTCCCCTCCCTTGCCTCTCTCTTCTCATGTTCCCAACTACTTTTCCACAATGCACTCCTCCCCCTGACCTGAAAGAGGAAAGAGCACTAGACTTGATGTCTAGAGACACTAACAGCATTACCGGGACCTTCATTTTTCAGAGGAGAATTTATCCAGAGCCACAAACAAGACCACAGAGGAGGCAGAGCAGGAACACAAGTGTCTTAACTCCTTGCACCTGCTCCTCTCCATCCTTTCTCCCTTCTTCTAACTAGCTTAGGTTGACCTTGGTTCACGCACCTCGATCTTCTGGAAGGAGTTGGTGATCATGGCAATGAGCATGTTGAGCAGCACAATGACCATGACGATGGTAAAAATGCCATAGAGGGCCCGGCCTACAAATTCAGGCACCAGAAACTGAGGCATGTCCACCACACTGTGCTCCTCCATGCCAAACATGGTCCAGAACAGAAACTGGAAAGTCTCGTTGAAACTGGCATGTGGGGTCAAGAAAAGGATAGGAAATGAGGGGTGAGGGAACAGCCTGGACTTTGCCCAGACACACTCTTCCTCACCCTCCAGGATCCAGCCAGAGGTGTTCTGTATTCATGAAGTCCTTCTGGGGGAACGCTTGCCACTTCTTTTCTCTCTCTCTCTCTCTTTTTTTGGGGGTGTGTGTGTGTGTGTGTGTGTGTGTGTGTGTGTGTTGGGGGCTGATACTGGTGATTGAACTTAGGAACATTCTGCCTCTGAGCTACATACCCAGCCCTTTTTAAAACTTTGAGACAGGATCTCACTAAGTTGCCCACCCTGGCCTTGAATGTGGGATCCTCCTGTATCTGGGATTACAAGTGTGTGCCACCATATTCTGCAACCTTGCCATTTCTGGGATTCAACTTTTATTCTTTTAGTCAACAAATATTTATTGAGCACACTGTAGAGTCATAGGTGCTAAGAACACATTGGTGAACAAGACAAGCAGTCTCTGTCTCCAAGGACCTTATGTTCTGGGGTGAGGATCACTCTGGGAGGTGACATGGACATTACTAACACTTGATCTTAGCCAAAATGCGGAGAAGTGATAAGATAAAGAACATGCCCCAAAGCAGGGGTTATGAACTTAGAGGGTTTAAAGAACTGAGAGGTCAGCATGACTCATCTCAGAGGGCAGAGTCTGGACCTCTGAGAGGGAAGAGAGGGAAGTAGGATCCACCCAGATATAGGAACTCAGAGAGTAAAACCTAAGATCCTTACCTTGCTCTGCAAACAATAGGAAGCTAGAGTGAATTCTAAGCAGAGGTGATACCTGCTTTACATTTGAAAAGATCATGTTGTGAGTAGAATGCTGGTGAAAAGATGGGAGTAGAGGTTTGGAGACCAGCTAAGAAATTGTTAGGCTGCTGGTGTGGCTCAGTGGTAGGTCCCCAGCACTAAGAGAGAGAGAGAGGGAGAGAGGGGGTGGGGAGAGAGAGAGACAGAGACAGAGACAGAGAGAGAGAGAGAGAGAGAGAGAGAGAGAGAGAGAGAGAGAGAGGGGGAGAGAATATGAGGGAGAGAAACAGAGACACTGTTATTGTGGTCTGGGTGGGAGAAGATGGTAGTATGAAGCCCAGTGATAGCAACTTCAGTGCTGCCTCTTCCAGGAAGCCCTTTCTGATCAGTCTTCCCTAAACACAGCAGAACATGTTTATCTGTTAGTCATTCACAGTTCTCATTACATTTTTCTTCCTATTGCACTTATTTGTGAATCTATCTTGTTCCCTCTATCTTGGTACCATACATGACCACAACCTCACACTGGATCTGGTGTCTGGATCAGTGTAAGGATGTCCTTAACCTAAGAAGGGCCTTAGCCTAAGTACCTCCATTTTGAAATAAAACTGCAGTCCCCACCAGGTACGCCTATGGAGCCCTCCAATATGGTCATCAGGCATAGCCTGATTTTAAAAAGTCTCTTTCCACAACCCTGATAAAACTGAGTGAAGTCTCTGTCATTTGCTTTCGCAAATGGCGAGATTAGGGTGGAGACCACCAGACCAGATGACTTGACATCAGAACAAAAGATGTCACTGAGAAACCCGGTAACAGCTGATAGGGATTGAAAGGGCGGTCAGAAACCCCCAAATTTAGCATAAATCATGGAGTGAATGAACATTCAGCCAGCCGACACTGCTGCACACAAGGCTGAGAGCCTGAGGACCTAGGACATCCTAACTCTTCTCATCTGCCTGATCCTCTGCGTCATCCTTATCACTCTCAACTCTACAGCAGCCTCTTGATTCTGGTGAGAAAAGGACTTCTCCTTATGACCATCACCTCAGCCAGCCATCAACTCCACCCCAGGAGAAGCCTCTATTGGTTCCTGACCTGGTTGCTACGGTCTGAGCGAGTGCATCTCCTGGACTTGAGACCTAAGACTTAAAACTTTAAATCTAGCACTTAAGCTTAGCATGCAGAGGGAATGTCTGTAATAGGTCTGTCATGATTGAGTGCGTTTGCAGAGCTTAGAGTTAACTTAGAATTATTTGCTTTTAATTGATTATGTCTTTTGCAATGCCCACCATTAAGGATTGTCATTTCTTGATTAAGAACCTATAGAGTGAAACTGTATTAAGTGATATGAGTGAATAAACATTGAAAAGGGCAGAAGTGCGTGGAAATTCTTCATCTCTCCCTTCGACTGCAGATGTCACACTTTTGCCCATTGCAATAATCAGTCTCTCATTACTCTGACCTCCACATTACACTAAGGGTGTTCTTTCAAAATGCTAATCTGACCTATGTCAATATTTAAATACTCCTAGCAATCTTCAGTCATATGTCTATCATACAACCTATTTCAGATTTTCAACAAAAATACTTTTTTTTTTTTTTTTGGTACTGGGTATTCAACCCAGGGGTGCTTAACCATGAGCCACATCTCCAGACCTTTTAAATATTTTACTTTGAGACACGGTCTCTCTAGTTGCTAAGGGTCTTGCTAAGTTGCTGAGGCTGGCCTTGAACTTGTGATCCTCCTGACTCAACCTCCTGAGTCACTGGGATTACGGGTGTGTGCCACTGTGCCCAGCACTCAACAAAAATACTTTTGATTTAATTTTATATTACCTAAGAACAAACAGTTCAGGAAGGCTCAGCCTTGCCTTGCTGCTGTGGAATGAAACCACTAGGACCATGAAGCATGCAGGAATGAGTAGCTTCCATCCCTGGTACTAAGATTCATGGTTTAAACTGTGAAATCTCAGTCCTTAATAAATAAATCTTAATAGATCTCAGATAATAACCTGAGTTTAGGCCAGAATTCTCTGTAAGAAACTGAATAAAGCTTTGATAGACCCTAAAACCATGAGAGTCTTAACCAGTATTTGCAGGCCCAAGTATTTGTCCTTTTAGTATCGTAATTAAAACCATCATGTAGTTGCAGAATTTATGATTGGGCAACAGTTTAAGTATCACCTGGAGCTCCCTGGCCTGATGTAGAAAGACCAAGCTCCTAAGGAAGACCTTCATGCTCTAAGACCTTGTCCTAGTTACCTTCTCCAGTTGCCCCTTAAAAAATTCTTCCCTAGCCGGGCGCCACACACCTGTAATCCCGGTGGCTCGGGAGACTGAGACAGGAGGATCATGAGTTCAAAGGCAGCCTCAGCAAAATCGAGGTGCTAAGCAACTCAGTGAGACCCTGTCTCTAAAATAATGCTGGGGATGTGGCTCAGTGGTCAAGTGCCCCTGAATTCAATCCCTGGTACCCCCCACCAAAAAAAAAATTTCTCTTCATGCACCAACCATGGGATACATCTTGCTGTTCTGCAAATATACCTTCCTGCTTTGGTATATGGCCCCTTTCTGCCCAGAATGCCTTGTATCTTCTCAGAAGTCTATAAACCTTCTAGGTGGAATTCAGATTCTCCTTTTTCTATAAAACTTTCTCTGAGCATTCAAGGCAGAGGAAGGGGCTTCCTTTCTGGGCACTCTCAACATAAGCCCTCCTTTTACATAGTATATATTATGCCAAATTGAGCTTGTTGTAGACATAGCTATCTTCTCTATGAGAACAAGCCTCGTTAATTCCTTCTTTCTGTGCTTCCAGATCCAGGGACAGGATTGACTACAAGGAAGGTGTCAGTAAGTGTTGAGAACTTACTGAGAACTTAGTTGAGAACTCCAACAACAAACTGAATGGCTTTGAAAGTCAATGAATTTAAAAAGTGAGTGTATGAATGAATGAACAAATACTTGAATGAAAAAATTTAATTATTGGCCATATTTAGGAAGAATTGAGCATAAAAAAGAATAATGACTATAATAAGAAATTAAAAGATATTTGCACCCATAGTGATATTTTAAAAAGAAGAAGGTGGGGCTGGGGATACAGCTCAGTTGGAAGAGTGTTTTGCCTTGCATGCACAAAACCCTGGGTTCAATCCCCAGCACCACAAAAAAAAAAAAAAAAGAAAAAGAAATATAGAGACAGAAAATTGACATCTTAAAATTGCAGTTATAGAAATTGATTCAGATAAAAATCATCTATGGGGTTGGGATATAGTTCAGTTGGTAGAGTGCTTGCCTTGCATGCACAAGACCCTGGGTTCAATCCCCAGCACCACACACACACACACACACACACAAAATCATTATGGATGCTAAAATCACTGGGTAAAAGAAAGACTGAAAGGGAGCTGTTTAATCCCAGTATCTCCATATATGTTCCCATTACTAGACGGGCTTCTCTAGTACCTTTGCAACCAAGATGTGCCTCCCGATGTGGAAAATACCCATCACCAAATAAGTTGTGTTCTTGCCAAAGCTCCTTAACTTGAATCTAATCATGAGGAAATAAATTCTAGCTGTGGAATATGATTTGGTCTACAGTCTTGACAAAAGCATTTGTCATACAAGACATTAAAAAAAAAAGGGAATGTTCAAGATTAAAGGAAACTATAGAGAGATGTGACAACAAAATGCAAAATGCAATGTATGATTCAATGCATGGGATTTTTAATTTTTAAAAACTCTTAAGATTTTTTTTGGCAACTGGGGAATTTTGGGGGGAGTGTACTGGGGATTGAACTCAGGGGCACTTAACCACTGAGCCACATTCCCAGTCCTTTTTTATTTTTTATTTGAGAGAGTGTCTTACTAAGTTGCTTAGGCTGACCTCAAACTTGAGATCCTCCTACCTCAGGTTCCTGAATCAGTGGGCTTATAGGTGTGCACCACCATGCTTAGCAGCAACTAAGGAAGTTTGAATGAGGAATGCATAGTAAGTAATATTATGGTATTGATATTAAATTTTTGAGTATGCAGTAAGGCAAAAATTGGCCACAGACCATACATGAGCATGGTTACATTCTAATAAAACTTTATGAACAAAAACCATTTTTTAAAGTGGGATAATGGTTTTGTGGTTATTCTCTTAGGAAACTTCTGAACTATTTAGGGGTAAAATGCCATGAGATTTACAACTTACTTTAAAACATTTCAAATAAAAAAGAGAGTAATAGACCAAGCAAATGTGGCAAAACAGTAACAATTGGTAAAGTCAGGCAAAGGGTATAGGGATTTCCAGTATACTTTTTAATTTTTTCATAAGAGTGCCTTTTTTCAATATGAAAAGTTTATGAAGGAAATGAGTGAACAAATGAATGTATCAACAGATGAGTGACCAAGTGAATTAATGAGAGAGTGAGCAAACAAGAAAACTGATTGAATGAATAAACAAGGGAAAGAAAAAGAGATGATCAAGCTGCAAGTCCCCAGCCTCTGCCCCAGCATACTTGCCCAGCCGCTCTGTCTCCTGGTAGGGCACATAGATGTTGTTTAGGCCACAGAGGAAGGCAGTCAGGATGATCATGAGGATGAACATGAACCTGGCATGGGATGGGATGTGGAAGGGTCAGAGCAGGTCTTCACCCTGGGAGAAATAGGACTTTGGGAAGAGGGATTGGGGGTAATGAACTTTATGGCCCTCAGGAGTATTCAATTTGGTTACTATTAAAAGTAAAGAAATCAGGGGATGGGAATGAGAAGGAATTTAAAGTAAGTGCCAAAGCAGAAGATATCCCTTAAGAATAATGGGTATTGAGTCTAATCAATCAAAGCTGGGGAAGGACTAGTCTCTTAGGGAGTGACTGTGATGCTGAGATTGTATAGGGATGGCTGCGAGTCAGGGATTCTTATTGGGTGGGAGCCATCACTAGAGAGTTAGAATCACATGAGAACGAGTTATCCTGCAATAGGGAAGGCTGGAAGAATCACTAGGTGGGATATGAGGTTCTCCTCCAAGCTAAGCCAACCTGCAGCTGTTCCGAGATATAATTAGCACTTTTCTCACCTATGGCACCATCTCCAGTCCCACCTGAGACAGGATCCTAAGGAAGTAGGCATTAACCATGTGTTCTGATTAGGACAAGAGACCAGGTTTGGCTGTACATGATTTATCTTTCCAAAAAGGGGAAACCCATGGAACCGAGACTACTATAACCAAGGGCTCTTTCAGCTGTCAGTGGTTTACCATCTTTTCTGGGATCATGAGCCTCTTTGAGAAGTAGGTTAAAGTTATAGACCTTCCCTCAAAATAAATGTGTTCATATTTATACTCCAATCTTGTCTGTACGTCCAGGCATTCAGAGGTCTCTAGAGCTTATATCTCTGGAGGAAGGCAAACCAGGAATTCCTATGCCACACTAAACCTGGGGAAAGTCACCAGGAGGTTAAGTGGAGTTTATCAGAAAGGAGGACACCCTGAGCAGGGACAGTACACACCGTATCATGTCATCAATCATCCTGCCAATGGAAATCTGCAGAGTGCCCAAAGACTCGTGGGCCGGCAGAATGTAGGCCAGGCGGGTGAAGCTGAGCATGCTGGTGACAGCAAAAAGCACCTCAGCCAAGAACTGGGGATCCTCTGTGCGCCACTCACTTCGCTCTGTGCAGATGAAATGGGGACAGTGGCTGAGAGACAAGGAAGAGGAGGGACTAGGGGATTCAGGGCTGAGTTGGGATACTCACCAGCAGTGGTGAAATAGTGGCAGGCAGCTTCATTGGCAGCATCCCTGCAGTGCATGTGGGCAAGCCCAGCCAGGAGGAGGCGCAGAGCGAAGGCTGCCAGGTACAGGGACAGGATGACCACATCCAGGAAGTTCCACCAGTCCAGGAGGTAACTGCGCAGGCCCTCGATCCATACTTCCTTACACTCGAACCACAGGAAGCCTGGAAGGGGTGGTAGGGGGCCAGGACAGGATGGGGCAAAATTCTGTTGCTCCTTGTAGGTCAGAGCCAGATTATGGTGGCCCTTTGATGGGGGCGGGGGAGCTAAAACATCACTGGAGTAAAGTCAATAAAATGTAAATGTTTAATCTATCCAAGTGTAGAATGATCTTATGTGAAAACAAGGACTCTAGGTTCATGCATACCCATGGCTAGTGTGACTTGCCCCAAGAATCACAGGTGGTTGATGCTCAGAAAGTGAGTGAGTGACAGGCTGAGACTGTAGCTCAATGGTAGAGTGCTTGCCCTGCACATGTGAGGTACTGGGTTCGATCCTCAGCACCACATAAAAATATATAAATAAGTACTTAAAAAAATCGCAACTCTCCATTAAAAAAAGAAGAAGAAAAGAAAGAAAGTGACACCTGTGAGGAACTGCA